TAAAAGACATGGTCTTTATTTTCCTACAGCAAAACCCTTAATTGATTTGCCTACAGCTACTTTGATTCAAAATTTTACTCTTGCAAAGTTGTGGCATGAAAGACTTAGCTGTATTGGTAAGAAAAGTACGAAACATTTACAAAACAAAGGAATTTTTGGAAATTTACATCTAGGTGATATTGGTTCTAGTGAACAACGTGTCATAGGAAAACAAAGCAAATTATCTTTCTTACTTGGAACTCATAAATCTAAACAAATATAAGATTATTTACATGTTGATCTATGGGGTCTTACTTCAGTAAGTGCTAATCTAGCTTTAGATACTATCTTTTGATCATTGGTGATTTTTCAAGAGAAAAATGAGTTTTCTTATTAAAATCAAAAGATGAAACTTTTTCCATTTTCAAAGATTAGAAAACATAAATTGAAAATCAAACTGATCACAACATAAAAGTTCTTAGGACTGGTAATGGTTTGAAATTTTGCAATTATGAATTCAACAATTTTTTGTAAATAGCATGGCATTTTAAGACATAGAACTATTATCTATACACCTTCACAAAATGGCACAGCTGAAAAAATGAATAGAACTTTATTAGACAAGGTAAGATACATGCTTTTAAGTTTTATTTTACCTAAACTGTTTTGGGTTGAAGCTGTAAAAACTGGTGCATATCTTATTAATAGAAGTCCTACTAGTGCCTTGAATTTTGATGCTCCTAAATCTATTTGGTCTAAAAATTCCATTGATTATAATCACCTAAAAGTATTTGATTGTGCTGCATATCTCATCAAAACATTAATAAGTTACAATCTAGATTATTTAAATGTGTTTTCTTAGGTTATGATGAAAATATTAAAGGTTACAGATTATGCGTTAAAAGTGAAAAAATGTTATAGGGTAATTATAAAAAGAGGTGTAATTTTAATGAATCTACTATGCCATGCTTAGAAGAAAAGAAAAATGACTTGCTTGAAAAAAAAAATGTTCAAATTGAGGTGGAGACGCCTCATACTGAGAGAGAAACTCCTAAATTTGCAATTGAGGAATTTGGTCTTGATGAAAAATGTTACCTTAACTAAAATTGAACGTGATCAAAATATTGAGTTTGATGACTAATCTGATTCTCCAATTTTTTTCCTTGATGAGTATCAACTCACAAGAGATAAAGAGAGAAGGAAAATTAGACATCCTGTTAGGTTTGATTGTGATAATTTTCTGTTATTGTTTACTTATCAAGAACAATTTGAAAATGAGCTAAACTCCTGTGATGATGCTATTAACTATAAAGATGGTAAAATTTGAAAAGCTACTATGATAGATGAAATGTCTTCACTCCTTAAGAATAAAACTTGGGAATTGATTGAAAGACTTAAGGACCATAGACTTATTGATTGCAAATGGATCTTTAAAATAAAGGAATGGAAATAGGGAAATAAAAGTGTTAGAGATAATATTAGACTTATTGCAAAAGGATTTAAACAAAGAGAAGCTATAGATTACATTGGAATCCTATAGTTAAGTATTCTCCTACTAGATGCATTCTAGATCTTGTTACTCAATTAAATAGGAATTTGATAAATTAGATGTTAAAATTGCTTTTCTTTATAGTGATTTAGATAAGAAAATCTTTATGAGACAACTTGAAGATTATATAAAAAGAGATTTTGAAAATATTGTTTGTTTACTAAAGAAACATTGTATGACTTAAAGCAAGCTCCAAGACATTGGTACAAAAGATTTGACACTTTTTATGAAACTTGGTTTTCAAATTAACAACTATATTACTTATCTCTACTGTAAAAGTAAACAAGGTAAAAATTCTTTATATGCAGTGTTTTATGTAGATGACATGCTGCTTGCTAGCTATAATAAATTTGAAATTGAGGATATCAAACAGAAACTGAAATTTGAGTTTAATATGAAGGATCTTATTATACCAAAAAAAGATTTTTGGCATGCAGGTTTTGAGAAATAAAGAAAAAGACATTATTTTTGAATCAACGTGACTATGTGGTTAAAATTTTGAAAATGTTTAATATGTTTGATTGTAAACTTGTAACTTTTCCTCTTGCAAACCATTTTAAACTTTCATCTGAATTCTATCCTAAATCTAATGAAGAATATGCTAGAATGTCTAAAATTCCTTATACAAATGTGATTGGATCTGTTGTGTATTTAATGGTATGTACGAGACATCATCTTGCTCATAGCATTAGCATTCTTAATAAATTCATGAGTAACCATGGGAATGAATGCTGGAATGCTTTAAAATGGCCTTCAAGATGTCTAAAACGAACTTCTGATTTTGGCATTGTGTTTAAAATGAACAAAGGTGGGATAACTCTAAAAGGTTAATTGACTTTGATTTTGCTAAAAATAGAGATAATAGAAAAATCAACATATCCTATTTCTTTGCATGGTACTGTAATTAGTTGAAAATATCATCTTCAAAAGGTTTTGGTTTTGTCCTCAATTGAAGCATTGTGGTTTTGTCCTCAATTGAAGCAAAACACACAAGTGCTTTTAAAGAAAGTATTTGATTTAGTGGTTTATTTGATGAACTTGATTTTGTTGATGAAAATGCAATTCTATTCTTTGATAACCAAAGTGCTATACATTTAAGTAGAAAATTTCATGTTTTATGATAGGACTAAACACATAGGCATTAAATATCATAATAGATTATTTCAAAAGAAATATTGAAATTTGGTAAAGTTGCTACCCAAATTTAATCTTTCGAATATGTGGACAAAAATAGTATCTTTAAACAAATTTTAGAATTATTTGAAGTTATTATCTGTTGATACTTTGTGATGAATGTACAGGGACTTAGAGCAAATGAAATATGAAACTGTTGATATGCTCTTTGCTACACTATGAACCGAAAATTAAAGTAGCAAGGTAGAGATTGTAGAGCTCGAACTTTGGGTTGTGTGCTTCCTAATTTTCTATATTGAAACTGTGATTCAGCAATGCGATTTTGCTAGTGGAGTGGTTCAACTGTATCTTGACACCTATCCTTATTCTAACCGTTGGATTGGCATCTGGATGGTTACATTGTATATCTTTTTAGCACCGTTTCACTTAGCACTTATCATTTGACTTCTGAGTTACGACTTTGAGAGAGATTTTCTTCCTGGAGCTAGGGTTTCTATTCTACTTCATTTTCTATCTTAAATGTCTCATTTGAAAACTAATATATGCAGTTTTTAGCCACTGATTTTGTAATATTCTTAGTGAAACTAGAGAGAACGAGAGGGTTTTCATATTTGTGTTTTTCAGAAGCATTTGTGAAGTTTCTGTGTGATTCTTAGAAGTTCTCCAGTTTATTTTGGAAGAGATAAGTAATCTGCACTTTCTCGTGTTGGTTGAACATTTTGTAATTTGAGGCTTTATAGCACAGCAAAGTGATATCCATTTTAATGAATGCTCAACAAGGGAATTAACGTTAGAAGTGATCGACAAACCTTTGGGTTTCAACAGAAAAAATTCTCTGTGTTCAATCTTTTAATGTCTGCAAGTTTTTCTTTTTGTCGAATTGAGGTTATTTTGTCTCTTGAATTAATTATCGTGTTTCTGTGCTTTTCATGAACAAAAGATAATTTATTTTTAGTTTATAATTATATTATCCTTGCTAGAATGATTGTACTGATATTGATATCTGTCCTAAAGCATCTTCTTAAGGTAAAAGTTCATTATAGTCCATAATGAACTATTTCAACAATCTTGGAGTAAAAATAAATAATAATTAGTAAAATCATGGAAATCATAAAGTTAAAAAGTTGTGGTAAAAATTGGTACAGTTGATAGCTTTAGCATGTGTCAATTTAGCCCTTCTTTGCCTCTTGTTTATAAATGATCGATCAAATTACTTTTTTATGGGATCCGTAAGTATCAGTTATTTTATTTATCACTCATTTCTATATATTTATAATTAAAACCAATTACAAACAACTCTACTTTAAAAAGCAATTGTTGCTAAATATAAATCAAATCACTTTTTATTTAACTCAAGTACTATCTATTTATCCATCATTCATCTTTATTATAAACACAATGTTTCTAAAATATTGTCGAACTTTTTAGTTCAAACGTACTTAATAATAATAATAATAATAATAATAATAATAATAATAATAATAATAATAATAATAATAATAATAATAATAATTTGTTTTTACATCAATCTTAGGATTTCTTTTCTTTTTGGGTAGAGAGGGAGGAGGATGACCATACTGAAATTCATTTCAAGCAGGAGGCATAGCTCTACATGAGGGCAAATTTGCCCAATGTAGCCAAAATGATTAGAAGCCATAAACATTATATTTTAGTTTCTTGGTGCAATGTGTCATATTATCGAATCAAATTATGTACGGTTCAAACTCAACATAAAGTCCAAATCAATCATTCAAAATTAATTATAGACTTGCACCAGTTGGATTGAGACTAGAAAATTCGTAACTTCATGTCTAGAAACTATGTCAAGAAAGAATTGGCACCATCTCTCATACAGGAAATTGATGCCAGACAAAGACTTGATATCGAAAGAGTGATGCTAGATATTTGAATTAGCCATGGTCAATGGAAAATATCTAGTATGAATTTGCACGAGATCAATGGACAAATTTTGAGACAAAATAGTAATTAACCATGAACAATGGACAATTTGCACGACTTACCAACTCACGTCAAAGAGAGGGAAAGACCACAAGTTTGTCTTCACTAATTCTGACTGACTTGAACGTCGGAGAATCTTGACCAATCGAAAACCCAACACCTCATTTCGGGCTGGTTTTGGTCACAGATCATGAATCTAATAACAGAAAATCCGGTAGAAGGCCAAAACTAGCAGCAACTTGCAGAGGTTCAGCTAACAAGGAAAATTATGTAATATGCACAAGCTTCATAATAGAAACTTAACAGAATTTCTTGCAGAAGTAACTTCTTTTAGAACAAAAATAAAGAGTTTAATTTGCAAACTTAATTAAATAGAAAATTAGTATCTATCTCCATTATGATGCACCTTCTTGACTTGCCTGTTCACTGTGTGCAACCATCCAATTCCTTTAATGGCTTTGGAAATATTCCTAACAACATTAGGCCTTCCTATTCCCAGATTCATCTTCCCTGCAGAGAATTTGAGAGCTTGTAAGCAACACAATTTCCCATCAATTTCTTCCTCGTTTTCATTTTCTTGGACATCAATTACACTTTTCTTGTTCTTGCTCTTGATATTTATCTTCTTTTTCGCGTCGTTTTTGAGCTTTGATTTGTCTGAATCCATCTCATAGGTCTCCCACAAAGAGTCCATCCCTTCACTTCCATCTACATTGCGTCTCTCTTCAAATAACTTGCACGCCAATGTCCTCTTCCACTCTTTCTCCTTTCTCATTGACCCATAACTCCCGAGGTTTTGAGATGAAAATTTCTCGGAACTTTTGATTTTCCAAGTGTGCTCTTCACCATTATCAGTTGCCTTGGATCCATTTCTCGTCAAAGAAATCTCTGTTTCCATATCGACAAATTCCTCGGCTTTCGTGCCAGATGTCGGGTCAACTTTCTTGCCTTCTAGCACTATTTTTTTTTCCTCTACTTTTTCATCCAAATCCGTACGAACTGAATTTTCTTCTAAATTACCTATCAAAGCCTCAGATTTGCTGATACTGCTGGAATCTTCGTGGTTAGAATTCACTTCTGATTTTTCATCCAAGAGGATTCCTTTCACCTCGAATTCTGACTCCCCAAACACGATTTTATACACTTCAAGATCCTCCATGCACTGAAATTCTTCATGTTCATCATCATCTTTAGAAGAAGATTGATCAATAGCAAATTTTTTGTAAAAACTGGGAATCAGGGTGAGGAGAGAGAGAAAAAGAAGAAAAGTTGTGATGAAGAGAGGAGATAGAAAAGAAATGAGTTTCAGAAGGTAAGGAGATAAGAAAATTAAGTATGAGAAATATAGAGGATGAGAGTAAATGAAGGAACCAAATGAGATCATTAAGTCAGAGATGAGAAAACTAGAAAAATGGGTCTTCAATGTGCTTGAAAAACACAACTCAGACATTTTTTCTAGAGAGCGACAGAAGAATTGAAAAATGGAAGATTGTGAAGAAATGGGGAAGAAGAGGATGGATTCTTGTTATGGAAAACAGGAGAGATATGAGTGAGTCTGGGAGTGATAGCGGCGTGAATAAAGGGAGGAAAAACTTTATTGAAGGTCACCCCACTTAAAGGTTTATTTCTATTGATCACTTGACTTTAATTTATTTTGTTTTGATCACCTAAACTACACTTTTATTAGTTTGAATATTCCATAAGTAACCATAACCAAATCCAACTTCGGATACTTTCAAGGCCCTATCCAACTCATCTAGAAAATAATTGAATAAGACAACAATGAAAAAAGTCATTGATAACACATCCTTGATTTTGGCAAAAACGCCTTGATCACCTTAAGAAACAAGTGCTCGATGTATCATCTAAGAATAAACAAGTCTTTCGTAGTCCGAGCAAGCTACTTTGAAGTGGCTAATGTTATGCATAAGTTGAGGCTAAGTCTGAATAAGATGACAGTGAAAAAAGTCATTGATGACACGTCCTTGATTTTGGCAAAAAGGCCTTCATCACCTTAAGAAACAAGTGCTTGATGTATCATCTAAGAATAAACAAGTCTTTGGCAGTCCGAACAAGCTCCTCTCATGTGGCTAATGTTATGCGTAAGTTGAGGCTAAGTCATGCCAATAACAAAAAAGCTCATATTTTCTTAGAAGCAACAAAAATTCATTCTAGTCATTTAATAACTTAAATCCATCTTCATGCTATCTTTTTTTCATTTGGGCAGACTAATTGTCGAGTTAGTGTCAAATAAGTGTCATATTGTGCATTTCATTAGCGATGTCATTGTGGAACTAGTCACGATTTTGGTCTTTATTACTTCTAGAATGGCTCAATTGAAATAAAAGCATTATTAGATGATTAAATTTTGGAAAAAATAAAAATTACATGACTAATATAAAACAAACTTGTAAGTTGAATGACCTTCTTTGAAATTTTGCTAATAAAGGGATGAGAATAATGGGGAGAGAGAGGGAAGACTAACAAACGATGTTGTCTGCAGGAGAACTTTTTCTCCTTCCAACTACTCTAATTTGTCCTTTTAACCACACAAGTAAATTGTGGAAAAAGTCTACATTGTCATTATTTTGGATTGTGCATCGATACAGATAGATATATTTGACGGGTAAGTTTGCAATTTGTAAGGATTTTAATAGTAATGGCGGGAGAAAAAGAAGAATGTACATGTATAGAAGTAGAAGTTTTGCATTACAAGTCTAGTTGAGATAGAGATGTCAAAATGAACTAGCTTGATTCTTTTTTATTGAAGTTAGGATTATCTCACGTTTAAGACTTTTCATCGACTAGTCTGTCCACTTTGACACTACTAAATTTATAATCATGTGGTAACTAAATTTTATAAGATTATCCATACTTGAAAAGTTGATTTATATATTGAGCGAATTTATATTGAATTTAGTGTGAATTTATCAATTTAAATAAAACCCAGACTTTGTGATAGTTGGAGTAAAAATAGAAGATTTCGGACCTAAATTGAGTTGGTTCGGAGAAATTAAAAACTAACAAAATTGCACGAGATTCATACGAAATATTAAGGGAGTAATTAGAAGAAATTCACAAATTTTGGGATGAAATTCAACTATATGGAAAGTTTGAGACTGATTTTCACACTATTGGGACATAGGGAAGATCAATCTTGGATGATTATGGAGGTTCGGGGACCAACATTATTGCTTTTAAAAGTTGTGAGATCAATGTTAAAGATTGGATTAAACAAAAAAAACAAAAAAAAAAACAACAACAACAACCGAAATCTAAGAAGTTGATGGTTAGAAGAGAGACTGTAGTTTGTAAATCACGGTCTGTCCACGGTCCACGATCAGCCCAATGTGAAGGATGTGACTATGGTGTTCAATTTTGGATTATTTTTGTCATTTTTGGGCATGACTTTAAAGGCGGTTCAAGTGCTATAAAAACACATCTAGGTTAAATAGAATGGTTCCAAACATAAGATGACGAGGGGAAAAAAAGAATAAAGAAAGAAGAAGCTGGGATTTCATGATCTTGACATGAAATTGCGGATTTTTGGTGCAAGAAATTCATATTTTTCTCGTTTTTCATTTAAACTCGTTGATGTATTTGAAATCATTTTTGTGTCTTTCTTCCATTATGTTGTGTAACTAAACCATTAGTTGTGGTGAACGATTTGAATTTGAACATTAATTTTAATAATTTTATTTTGAGTGCTTTTGATTGTTAATATTTACTATAGAAAATGTCATTTTTCACCAAAATTCTTACTTTTATGTTGTTTGATTGATACTTTTTTCCAAATAAAATAATTTCCTACTTTTGATCACTTGGCAATATTTTCCTCTTAAAAACAAGGAAAATATTTTCTTTAAGGTGAGCATTTTTTTTTCCCAAATAATTAGCTATCTCTTTCTCTCTCATCCCCCCCCCCATCTACCTATCAATAAAAAATTGACAAGCACAATATTTTCTAGGTTGAAAATAAAATCAATCAAACATATTTAATTGACAATTTAAATGCAAATGATTTCTAGACAATTTAATTGTTTAGAATTTATTTTCTTTTTACGTAAATTTCATGCTCATAATCAAACACGCCGTTTGATTTTATTATTATTTTTAAACGTTTATCCATTCATTTTAGTTCTACTCTTTATGCTTGAAAATAATTTACCATTATTTCATTTATTTGTGAATAGTAAAAAGTTGGGATGCGAATTATTTGCTTAGATCACATAGTAAAAATTAGAATTTGTTATACTTAATAGAATTCTTTTGTGATTGAATAATCTTAATTAGGTCCAGATTTATAATATAGCAAGTTGAGTTAAAGAAGTGGGATTGATTTAAACTCAAAAGAAGTAAATCAATTAATTTAGAAGAATTCAATTGGTATACATAATTGATTGTTGTTAGAATTTGATGATTAAGATTAAAAGGATAATTGTGGTAAACTCGCAAACCTTTACACTTTTCATACATAAGTAAAAATTAACAATTCTCTATTTGCACACATTTTAATTATTATAGTAGATTTATAAATTTTAGGATCATATTTAAAATTACTTTTAAATATTTCTACTCTAATAAAAGTTGGGTACAGTTGAACCAATAATCAAATAGATAATCCTTGTGTAAATCATAGTACAGACTCTCTAGATCTACTTTACTATTTGTTTAATTGACATCGTACGCTTGCAATTAACAACAACATCATGCTTTTCATTTTTATATTGAAAAACCTTTAAAAGAAATTCTCCGAGGGAAAATATATTCCAAAGCATGAGAGTTATATATGGTTAAGATGTTCTCAAAACATTTTGTACAATATTTTTGGTATATTAAAATTGGAACAAATTAAATAAATTAAAAAAGAAAGATCATTTTTATTGGTTATGTTCATTATAATCCTTCGAGTACTGGTATACATTAATACAAATATGCAATTTTGTTGCATTGTTAAGCATTAATTTGACTTGTAAACACCAAAATATAAATGAAAAAAATATGGATTAATAGCCGTGGGTGCAATTGCACCCACTGGGCCTTTCATTTTTTACATTTACAAAGTAGTCCACATAATTTTAAATACATAATTTTAACTCATAATTTTTACATAATTCTGTATCGCCCCACTAAATTATATTCTTGGGTCCGCCCCTCATTAATAGATTTGCAGAACATGCTTTTCTAAAATATGCACTTTAGGCATCCTATTCTCATCTACCACCTTTTTAGGATTAAGCAAATTATAGCTGGTCACTCAACTCCCTCTATTTTTATTATTATTATCAATTGCATGATGACTCCATTACATACCAATTCTGTAATACAAAGTAGAACATAGAGACAAATTTGATCTCCATGTTTTACAGAGTATGGTTCGAATATATGTATCCGAGGTTGATCTCCTGCCCATATTGAGTTGGAGTCATAATATTCATCGTGAATGTGGTAAAGTGTGGTACTACCACGTCATACCCCCCATTTTTGACTTGGCAACACAACTTGTTGCCACACGATGGGTATTATGATTCATGTTCACTATGAGCAGAGATCATGTTTGCATATATATATAACCTAGTTGAGAAAACTATCTTAATTAATATTTAAAAATTAATTGATATAATGGTGCGTTTGATTGTCAATATTTTTTATGGAAAATATATTTTTCCACTTAAATTTCTACTTTTGTGCTGTTTGATTGATATTTTTCTATGGAAAACATTTTCCAACTTTTGGTCACGTGATCATATTTTCCTTGAAATCAAGGAAAATATTTATTTAGGGGGCATAGGATTTTATTTTTCAGGGAATTATTTCTCTCTTATCTACCCACCAATAAAAATAGGACAAGTATAATATTTTCAAAATTGAAAATTAAATCAATCAAACACAATTAATTGATAATTTTCATGTAAATATGTTCTAGGCAATTGAATTGTCTAAAATTTATTTTCTTTTCATACTTGCAATCAAATGCAACCTTAAGAGATTCTCTTCTCGAAGAACTTATAAAGATATGCACATTGAATTAACTTTCTCTAAAAACTTTTTTAACTAAAAGAACTATTTTTATAAAATTAAAGAACAAATCTAAAAGCAATTTTTGAATCTCAAAAGTTCATTTTAATTTATCAAAAGTCATGTTAGACGGACTCTTCGTCATTTTCCTTTAATAAATATGCCATATACGCATAGTTAATGCTTTCGCATCTATCCCGTCTATGTTAAAATCCCGTTTTCTTAAGCATGGGGCGAAAATTCGCGTATATGCATTTTCACATAGTACTTCATTTTCATCAAGCAGATGGACTATAATATTGAGTAAAATATAACAACCTCTTTGGTCTTCCTCAAACAATTGGTGTCATAGGAAGTCAACTCGAG